AGAGAAGAGAAGAGAAGAGAAGAGAAGAGAAGAGAAGAGAAGAGAAGGAGAGAAGGAGAGAAGGAGAGAAGGAGAGAAGGAGGAGAGAAGGAGGAGAGAAGGAGAAAAGAGGGAAAGGAGAAGGAAAAGGAGAAAAGAAGAAGGAAAAGAAGGAGAAAAGAAGGAGAAAAAGAAGAAGGAAAAGAAGAAGGAAAAGGAGGAAAAGAAGGAGGAAAAGAAGGAGGAAAGAAGGAAGAAAGAAGGAAGAAAGAAGGAGGAAAGGAGGAAAAAAGGAGGAAAGGAGAAGGAAAAGAAGAAGGAAAAGAAGGAGAAAAGAAGGAGAAAAAGAAGGAAAAGAAGGAGAAAAGGAGAAAAAGAAGAGGGAAAAGAAGAAGGAAAAGAAGGAGAAAAGAAGGAGAAAAAGAAGAGGGAAAAGAAGAAGGAAAAAGAGGAGGAAAAGAAGGAGGAAAGAAGGAATAAAGGAGGAGGAAAGGAGGAGGGAAAGAGAGAGGGAAAGAAAGAGAAAGAAAGAGAAAGAAAAAGAAAGAAAGAGAGAAAAGTAACTCTGGTATTGAGTTTCACCCTCCACACGTGGAATATCTGCAAGAACCTGGTCAGGGATATCAGGTGTCAGCTCAGACTCACCAAGGGGACAATAAAATTACCAGCAGCAATCAGACAAAAGGATTCCTTGTATTTTAATGTCTAAGCCAATTGAAATTAAAAAAATCAGACTTCAGAAAGCAAACAGCAAACAGGTAAAATCCCAAGTTTTGCCACGCAGAGGGGGCTGGAAAACCACGGAAAATCCCTGGGGCTGTACCTGCCAAAATCCAGGAGGGGCCCGTGGTGGGTGTACTTGAACTTGAAGTGGTAACACTCGGTGACCGTCTGCAAACAAAGGCAGGGGGTGTTAAACCCTCAGAGCAGAGCCCTGCTGCTAATCTAGATATAGATGGTAAATATATCTATGTATAGATAATAAAACACAATTAAAATAATGGTTCTTTTCCAGGAATCGCCACGATAAATTACACTGAAATATCACCTGAAGTTTTTAGAGTGAAATATTGTGATTTTCGGTCGCTCTGGGAACGTTCCAGACGTGGTGACACCCAGTGGGGGGTTGTGTTCTCCATAAAAATTCCATGGATTCTTTAGGCAGAGGTAGGACAAGGATTGTTTCACTCTGCAGTGGCACTGGTACCACCGAGTGGCTTCTTGTACCAAGCTGACACTCAACCCTCAGGTGCAATTCCAGACCTGGCAATTCCCACTGGCTCCAGGGATTTGGATACTTCTGATATTTAAGTTGGATATTTTAATGTGCCCTTTTTTTAAAGATGTGGAAAACCATTAAAATCGTGGGGGGGAAAAGCGAGTTGAGAAATGGGAATTTCTGCTTTGGGACAAAAATATAAACTTTAATATGATCCTTCTCAGACAAATCTGAATTATTTAATTATTATTTAATAAATAAATATATTTGTATAGTCAATATTTATTTAATATCTATTTAAATTATTTAAATGTTTATTTAATATCTATTTAAATGGTTTAAAATTTATTTATTATATATGAAATATATAAAATAATATCATATTATAAGATATATTCTTTTTATATATATTATAATATTTTATATAATAGTAAAAAGTCTATATTAAATGTTTAATTAAATAAATATAATTTAAATAAACATTTATTAATTTAATATAATTTTATTTTCTACAATTTAATATTTATTGTTTATTATTTATTACTCAATTATTATTTAATTATTATTTAGTACTTAATATACAAACTTATCTATTATCTACTCTATTTAATTATTATTAATATATTATTATTTATTATTTAATGTAAATATTTTATTTATTATTTATTATTTGATTGTAATTTTTATTTTGTTTATTTAGTTTCTTTTTAATATATAAATTATATCGTTTAATTATTTAATATATAAATATATTATTTAATATATAAGTATTTATTTAATATATTATTATCTTAATATGTTAAATATGTTAAATATCCCTGCTTGTACACACATTTTACTACCTCCATCCTATCATTAATCACCCAATTAAATATTGCAGCTGATTTACCTGAGGATCTTCTGGCTGGGTATAGACCTGCATTTTTAAAGTGAAGAGAGAGAATCAGAACAAGAACTCTTAAAATAATTCAGGATAAGGACCTTTAAAAACATGTCCTTTGCTTTTGAGAGATACTCACTGCGAGGACAATCTGCCTGAGCTGTCAGAGGCATTAACAGAGAAAGAAAAAGAAAATTAGATATATTTTAGAGCCCCTTTCCTCTCGAAGATGATTCGTTTCTCCAGTTCTGGGAACCAACAGATAAATGTTGGAAGAAAAACTCCTTCCTCTTCTAAGAGAGGAGCCCAAACACCTACAAATCCTTGACCTTCTGTTTCTGAGGAATTTTATCCTGAAATTCCCGTGTATCCCACACTGCCCAGAGTCCTGGCAACTACTGGGTTTAAATCAACATTCCAACACCCTTTAAATGACACTGCAAGACTCACGTATTTCTTCTGCAAGGCATCGTAGCACCCCAACATCCTGCAACAAATCAAACATAAGTCACTAATTTCCATTTGCTTCTGGCTAAAACAGCAGCAAAAAGTGAAATTCTTGGGTTTCCTTATTGTGTTAGGGCAATAAATGGTATTTTTGGCATTATTCTACCTTCTTTGGTAGCAGTGGGACAAGCAAGAACTACCTTTGTAGCATCAAATCTTCCCAACCAAATCTTCCCTTTAATCAGCCTCTTGGGAGAATTATTAAAAATATAATCTGTAAGCAATTAATTTATCAGTAAAAACATATTGCAATGCTTCAAACAGCTTCTAACACATGTTCATTAATCAGGTGAGCAACTTGGTTCAGTGGGACATGTCCCTTCCAAGGGGGTGGGAATGGGATGAGCTTTAAAGTCCCTTCCAACCCAAAGCATTCCGTGATTCCATCATAAACCAGGAGCTCAGCCAAACATCTCTGGAGCACAAAGGAGTTCAATTATTGCCCTTTGCCATTTGCTGTTTCTAGAAGAGCCAAGCAACAGGCAAAGAGGGAACCCAAACCTACCATTTCACCAGCTGGCTGGAGCCAGGGCAGTTCTTGTCCTCCCTCAGGATTTTGACACAGACATCTCAAAAACAAAATAAAAAAAAAAGCACATTTACTTAGGGCAAAATGAGATTTAAAAAGTGATGTTCACTCCTTAAAAACACATATCAAAAAGAGGCTAAAATGAACATTACTGTTAAGCATGAGCATGGTTTTAATTGTTAGAGCACTGGCACCAACAAAATTCAGTTTAATGAATTAGTGAAGTTTCCATTGCAGGCATTGAAATGGTTTTAAAATGGCTTTAAAAACACACAGAATTTGCAAATTATCACAGAAACCTCCTGTTACCATCCATGTATCTCGTTCCATAGGCACTTTCAGGGAAGATTCCTCTCAGGTACGTGATGCAGGACACGGCCACTGCCAGGAGCCTCTTCACCAGCATCAGGGACTGCTGCTCCGTGGCTATTTTTTTAGGGAAGACAACTGCACTCTGGAAAATCAGAGGAAGAAATCAATGAATCAATTAAGCTGTATCCACAGCACCAACCCCATCCAATGCCTTAATTTTAACTTAATTGAGAAGTATGACTTTCGTGACTTATACTTTATATTCCTGATGCTTGGTGTCATTGAGTTTTTAGGACCCAGCTGGTTTTTACCAAGTGCACGACAACAAAACTCAGATTATTTCTCTATTAAGCATCTTTATTCTTAGCTAAAAGAACCCAATTAGCCCAAAATTTTCAAGTTAAGAACTATCACCTGGGTGCACTATTTCAGCCAAAATTCCCCCCATTTTTCCTATTAAAGAACAAACTGTGCCAAAAAACACAACACAACCATACCATGCAATTCCTTTGCTTCTGAGCAGTTGCCATTTTGCAGAGACTCTTCTGCCTGTGAATTAAACACCTGCATTAACACCTGGATGAGCAAAAGGGCAGCAAGTCCAGCTTGCAGCTTCCACAGGGCATTCCCTGGATCTCCTGCACAACTCACCAGCTCAAACCAACCTGGAATTGCCAGCAAACAGAGCAGGACAGTTTGTCTGATAATCCCCAGCATCAGATCCTGGATTTCCACAGCAGCACAGGCCTCCCCCGAGGCTGCAGGACGCAGTAATTAGAATATTTATATCTGTATTTATATGAAATACGAGCTTGCAAAGGAAATGCTCCTCAGTGCTAACTGGCACCCAGCCCGCTAGATTTTCAAAGGGCTTTAAGAAAAGGCTCCCCACATTTTGAACACCCCCGGGCTTGGGTTGTTTTATTCTGTGGTTTAAATGAGTGCGGGAGAAAGAGAATCCTCAGCACCCCTGAGCCTGGAAAATGAAACACATCCGCACCCCAGGCCATGGAAAATGCCCGTCCTGAGGAAGGGGTTGGCTCTGGGCAGTGCAGGGAACAGAGGGGCCCCTCAGCGAGGAGTCCACAAACCCCCCTGAGCACGGCAGGGCTGTGCTCCTCCAGGTATAGGGGGGTAAAGTGAGGAGGAAGGGAAGAGTAGGGCGTGGGGAGGGTGAGGGGAGAGTGAGGGCAAGGTGAGGGTGAGGAGCTGAGGATGGGGAGAGAGATGCTGAGGGCAGAGGAGCTGAGGGCAAGGGGCTCCTGAGGGCTGAGGGTGAGGAGCTGAGGGTGAAGGGCTGCTGAGGGTGAG